AATTAGTTTTTCGTCAATAACTCTTGATCAAATTGAGCTAGCGAGTCGGGGAAGGCACCAATGGACTCAGGAAGGCCTGCCGAATCGAATGATATGCGACATGACCTCTTTCGACCAACTTCGTGACCTGGGGGTGCTGACCTGACCTTGACCTGAGGTCAACACCCCAAGTTGACCTGACCCGGACAAAAAGTATATCATTCGACGCGCCTGAGCGAGGTGAACACGATGCTGCCAAAATCGGCGCTCTGCGGCCGTTTTTTGCGAAGTTATTCACCAAAAACTGAACCGTACCTTGGGGCACTTGACCTGACCTCAGAGGTCACCGGTTGACCTAGGACCTTAAAATCGGGTACCAACCTCTGCGTCTCGTAACGGCGCACACGCTCGTTTTTTCCGCGACGCGCTAGCTCCACCAGGGGCGAAACGGCGAGGGGGGGTCGTACCCGCCCCCCCCCCCTCGGCCGGCGCCTATGTAGAAAACCAATAGGTCCGGCGAGGGTTAACCCGCGCCCCGTAGGGCTACCGGCGGACCCTACCACCCGTAGGGGGGGGGGGCCGTTTCGGCCCCCCCCCTAAGATCTCGGAAAGTTACCGGCCGATTTTCAAAATTCAAACGGCGTTCGATAGCCCCACCCGGGAACTACCTTGTGACCAAATTTCATTGACCTAGGTCAAACCGATGACGTCACAGGTCAGGTCAAAGGTCAGATTTTCACCGTTCACAGGCAATTCAAGAAATGTGCTGTGAAAGCGAGTAAATTGGTAATTTATTGAAAACCATCGATGGTACATTGTTCGTCAAACACATACTTTGCTATCTGAGGTCACTGATACCAGGTCAGGTCACAGCGAGGTCAGGTCACCGGGGGTCACAATATGAATGTGTCGTGTGATACATGTTTTATGGTCCATTTTACATGACAAATGCGATTATGTGGGTTAGGCAGCCTTTGGGGCCAGCCTAGGTCACGTTTTTGTGAAGGTCAGGTCAAGGTCAGGTCAAATTAGGTCAAATTTTAAAGTTGATATTTTTGCATAAAATGGATATTGATTCGATGCAGCTCGTCACGGGGAGTCTAATGGTGGTCTTCGTTTTGCTCTACGAGTTCTAGAATTGCCAAAAATTGAGTTTGAAAATTTGACGTCATCATTTTTGAACAGTTTTTTCGCTATAACTTGGCCAAAAAACGAGGTATCGATCTGAAATTTGGTATGTAGATAGAAGACGGTAGGCACTATCACATATATTCAGGTTTTTTCGAAACTCAAATTTTTTTTTTGGATTTTTTGGCGAATATATCCAAAAAAATGCTTTTTTGATTTTTGGGGGTCAAAACTCAAAAATTTCAAAAATTCGAGATAGCAGTTTTGTAGCCCTGTCAATTCTACACCTTTAATGTCTTGATCATTTTTCTGTATCTTCAAAGCTGTAGTCCTGACAGGTCTTCTCGCGAAGGTCTTTTTTCGGTCGAAAATGACAGAACATGACGTCACTCTGACGTCATTTGTGGCCAACCTATCATAGCCTCTGGAAAATTTTTTATCACAATGTGTAAAATTGATGCCCGGAGAGATCCTGAAAGTTTGGTGGCGATATCTGCAGCCGTTTAGGAGATATCGACCGAAAAGGACAGGGGGGGCCGTTTCGGCCCCCCCCCCTACGGGGCGCGGGTTAACCCGCGCCCCACTGAGATCTGCGTATAACACGCCCTACTGGGGGGGGGGGGGCTATTCATAGCCCCCCCTCCTAACTCCGAAACTACTGTGCCGATCGTCAAAATTCAAACGGCGTCTGATAGCCCCGGAAAAACTGTCGAGCAAAACCTAATTTTATTGACCTCGAGGTCACTGATGACGTCACAGGTCAGGTCAAAGTAAAAATTATTAGCATTTTGGCTTCTTCACGTTTTGGGCTCTGGCCGCCGTCTTACAAGTCAGATCAGGCTCACTTTTGGTTCACACACTCCTGAACAGATGCTCTAGATACCCTGAGGGTACCAAACTTGTACTTTGATTTTCAGGTCAAGGTCAGGTCATCACAGGTCACGAAAATATTATATCATCCGTCGGTCACGTGACACATGTTTTATGGTCCCTTTAGGCCAAACATTTCGAATTTGATGTCGTCTGTGTCATGCGAGGTCATTTTGAGTCAAATTTAGCTTAGGTCAGGTCACTTTCAGGTCAAAAAAGGTCAAATTTTGAAGTTAAATTTTTTCAACAAAAAAGGTGTCTATTCGATGCAGTTTGAGCTCAGGAACACGATGGTGCTATTTATATTGGCGTACGATGTCAAATTCGTGCTGAAAAATTGATTTGAAAAATTAATAATTGTTATTTTTTTGCAATAACCCTCGCCCCGTTGGGGGGGGGGGGCCATTTTGGCCCCCCCTGTGGTTTTTCCTGAATAGCAAGAAAACGGCGGCGCGCAGCGCCACCAAATTTTCAGTACCTTCCCGGGCATCAATTTGACACCTTCACACCAAGTTTCAAGTCTTAGGTCACCTTAGGTCAGGAGTTATTGAGGTCAAACTGAGGTCATGTTCGAGCAAAAATGAGCAAAAAACATGCAATCTTGAAACGCTCACCAAATCTACAGTTATCAAGCAATTTCAAAGTTCTTTATATGGTCTAGTAGACAAAAAGCGGCGCTACAAAACTGCTATCTCGGATTTTCAAAATTTTTGGTTTTTGACCAAAAAAAAATCAAAAAATTGTTTTTTTAGAAAAACTTTAAAAAAATCCAAAAATTTTCCGAATTTCGAAAAAACCGGAATATATGTGATAGTCCCAGCGCTCTTCTATATACATACCAAATTTCAGATCGATATCTCGTTTTTTGGCCAAGGTATAGCGAAAAAACTGTTCAAAAATGATGACGTCAAATTTTTGAACTCAATTTTTAGCAATTCTAGACCACGTACGGCAAAACAAAGACCACCATTGAACTCCCCGTGACGAGCTGCATCGATTCGATACCCATTTTATGCAAAAATATTAACTTTGAAATTTGACCTAATTTGACCTGACCTTGACCTGACCTTGACCTGACCTTGACCAAAACGTGATCTAAGCTGGCCCCAAAGGCTGCCTGACCCATATAATCGCATTTGTCATGTAAAATGGACCATAAAACATGTATCACACGACACTTTTATATTGTCACCCCCCCGTGACCTGACCTCTGTGACCTGACCTGGTATCAGTGACCTCAAATAGCAAAATATGTGTTTGAAGAACATTTCCCCATCGATGATTTTCAATGAAATGCATTTTACTCGATTTTACAACGCATTTCTTGAAGTGCCTGTAAACGGTGAAAATTGGACCTTTGACCTGACCTGTGACGTCATCGGTTTGACCTAGGTCAATAAAATTGGGTCACAAGGTAGTTCCCCGTTGGGGCTATCCAACGCCGTTTACCGCTTGTCGCTATGTTGCGTGGTTCTCGAGATCTTAGGGGGGGGCCAAAATGGCCCCCCCCCCAACCGGGCGCGTTGCTCGGCAGAGCCCAACGGGGCGCGGGTTAATGCGTATAACTTGGCCATTTTTGAAGATATTTAGCTAAAACTTGCTAGAGGTAGTCATAATAATGCGTTCTATCACATATGTTCCGGTTTTTTCGAAAAGTCAAAAACTTTTTGAAAAAAATGTAAAAATATAAATTTTGAATTTTATTACTTAAAATTTTTGAAATTTTCAAAATTTCGAAAAACCGAGATAGCAGTTTGATAGCGCAGTCTATTCTGAGTCCTCTCATGCAAAGAAATTGGATCTAGCTTAAAAACTGAGCTCTTGGGAGCGATTGCCGTGGTTCAATGTTTTGCGTCGAAATCGGCCGAACATGACGTCACTCTGACGTCATTTCCGGCCGACCTATGGTAGGTACGAAGTTCAAATTTTGACACAAGGTGTCAAATTGATGCAGCCGAAGGTACTGAAAGATTGGCGTTGATACGTCAAGCGGTTTGGAAGTTATTGCAGAAAAACGGGAGGGGGGGCTATAAATAGCCCCCCCCAGTGGGGCGCGGGTTAACGCTCGTCACCGTTGTCACCGTTGGGTCACCGTTGGATATCAAGTGCGCTGCAAATCATATACCGATAACGATGCCGTTTTCTGGTGCTAAGCCAGCTAAAACCTCTTTGTCACACTACCGGACCATATTTTTGCTGCTGAGGTCATTTCAGGTTAAGTTAGGTCAAGGTCAATTATATGTGTTTGTATGTCTGTGTGTGTCTGTGTGTATACTGATGTGTGCACCAATTGTTTATGTGTCCATATTACATGAAATCATGATCTGAGAAGCTTTTACCAAAAATGCAGTCAAAAAACTTCACGAAAAGTAAATTCAGCCTGCCTAAAACGCAATTATTTTAGATGGCCTAGGCTGACCTTGACCCTGACCTTGACATCTGTACATCGTCGAACAACATGTTCCATGATAGGTGGGAGGTTAGACTGGCAAAAAAAGGCCGAAAGCAAGGTGTCAAAAGCTCACAAGGCCCATAGCCAACGCAAGATGTTAAGAATCGGTCATTTGGGTCATGACATGACCTGAAAAACAAGGTCATATCTCCGAAACCAAAAACTACAGAAACCTCAAGAAACGATAGAGGAGCAGCTATACGAAAAATCAGACTTCTAGCTCTAACAATGTTGAGTGCAGAGCAGAAAGACTACCGGGGGGGAAGGTAGTTACCCCCCCCCCCCCCATGTGCGGGCGAGGGTTAATCAATCTCCCCCTCCCCAATCCCTGACCGGGCGAGGGATGAGATGTAGGTCCGAACCCTCCATTTTGTCGAGACATCCACTGAGATCATAGACCCGCCTCTTCCATCCCTGCACAGTCTGCTCGTCACTATGTTTTGTTTTGACGAGTTGCATGAGTTGTCCAGGGTACTGGGAAAGGGAAGGGGAGGGGAGGGGGGGGACTGCACATCGACCGGCGGCCCGTGTTGTCCCTGTAACCCTGGTGACCCCCCACTGACGTCATCAGGCCAGGACACCGCGCCGCCGACTCACTGAACACGATCGATTCTGCCGACACACCACTCAGGGTGTTGATGTTCGGCGCAGTTCCAGACAGGAACAAAGGCCGACGGAGGAGCCGGAGCCGCACGAGCTGCACTGCGTCCACCGGCCGGGTCAGTGGACAGAGCGGGTGATCCAACAGTGTGTGGACGGTACTGAGTCCTGCCCACCGGAGCCGACCACGGCGGAGGCGGCGAATATCAGGTGAGCCGGGCCGACCTGTGTGTGTGTGTGGGGGGGGGTGGGGGGATCTGTGTGTCCCTGTGTCTGTTGTTGAGTGTGTTTTGTGCGTCTGTGTCTATAGTCAGACTATATGTGTTAACCCGCGCCCCACTGGGGTCTGTGTATAACACGCCCTACTGGGGGGGGCTATTCATAGCCCCCCCTCCTAACTCCGAAACTACTGTGCAGATTGTCAAAATTCAAACGGCGTCTGATAGCCCCGGAAAAACTGTCGAGCGAAATCTAATTTCATTGACCTCGAGGTCACCGATGACGGCAGAGGTTAGGTCAAAGTAAAAATTATTAGCATTTTGGCTTGTTCACATTTTGGGCTCTGGCCGCCGTCTTACAAGTCAGATCAGCCTCATTTTTGGTTTACACACTCGTGAACAGATGCTCTAGATACCTTGAGGGTACCAAACTTTTACTTTGATTTTCAGGTCAGGGTCAGGTCATCACAGGTCACGAAAATATTATATCATGCGTCGGTCACGTGACACGTTTTATGGTCCATTTAGGCCATATATTTCGAATTTGATGTCGTCTGTGTCATTCGAGGTCATTTTGAGTCGAATTTAGCTTAGGTCAGGTCACTTTCAGGTCAAAAAGGTCAAATTTTGAAGTTAAGATTTCTCAACAAAAAAGGTGTCTATTGGATGCAGTTTGAGCTCAGGAACACGATGATGCCATTTATATTGGTGTACGATGTCAAATACGTACTGAAAAAATTGATTTGAAAAAATTAATAATTGTGAATTTTTTGCAATAATGCGTATAACTTGGCCATTTTTGAAGATATTTATCTAAAACTTGCCAGAGTTAGTCATAATCATGCGTTCTGTCACATATATTCCGGTTTTTTCGAAAAGTCAAAAACTTTTTGAAAAAAATATATAAAAATTTAAATTTTGAATATGATTATATACAATTTTCAAAAAAAAAAATCAAAATTTTGAAAATCCGAGATTGCAGTTTGATAGCGCGGTCAATTTTGAGTCCTTTCATGCAAAGAAATTGGATCTAGCTTAAAAACTGAGCTCTTGGGAGCGATTGCCGTGGTTCAATGTTTTGCGTCGAATTCGGACGAACATGACGTCACTCTGACGTCATTTCCGGCCGACCTATGGTAGCTACGAAGTTCAAATTTTGACACAAGGTGTGAAATTGATGCAGCAGAAGGTACTGAAAGTTTGGCGTTTATCCGTCAAGCGGTTTGGAAGTTATTGCAGAAAAACGGGAGGGGGGGGCTATAAATAGCCCCCCAGTGGGGCGCGGGTTAATGTAACGGTGTGTATGTGATGGTGTGAGTCTTTGTGTGTCTTCTCTGTGTGCTAGGTACCCGTCTGAGTGTTTGAATGTCTGTGCTTAGATGAAGTAACGGGAGAGAGGGCATAGGTGGCGGAACGGGGAGGGGAGGGGCACCGGGGAATCGTGCCAACTTGATTTCGGTATTTTAACATAAGCCCTATGGGCGTTGCATGGAAAGAATGGGACCAAAAGTCGGCAATGCCCCCCACCCCCACCCCCACCTTAATTGAAGGTGTTCAGCGCTACTGGGGAGGGGGCAAATGTCCCGCAGTGGCTGCCAGTTGCCCCTGCAGTGACGAGATTTTGCCCATCCTGTTGGAGTGAATACCTATTATGCGCTTCAAATAAATATTATCCAAGCTGTCAAACCCGATGTGAAAGTCAATCAATCCTAATTCCTTTTCATATTTTGTCGCCCGTGTTTACACTGCTTTTAGTCTAATATCGTAGAGAACACCCAGCGGCGTATCCACAATCTTGAGGTTACCTTTACTTTAGAGGACCCAGTGGAAACTTTTTAAACCGCGCCCTGGTTGGGGGTGTTTTATGCCCCCCCCCGTTCCAGTCGTTTCGCACTATCTCCCAAATTAATGCGCCGATCGCCGCGAAAATTTCAGAACCCTCTTGTAAATCGGTTTTACACCTCGTTACCTTTTCTTCCACAGTCTATGATAGGTTGGCCGCAAATGACGTCAGAGTGACGTTACGTTCAGGCATTTCCGACCCAAAAGAGGTTTGACGGGAGGAGCTGTCAAGACCAAAGTTTTAAAGATAAAGGAACATGTTGAAAAACAAAAAGATATAAAACGAGCAGCGCTACAAAACTGCTATCTTGTTTGTTATATATTTGCTTTGATTTTGAACCCCAAATTAACCCGCGCCCCGTTGGGCTCTGCCGAGCAACGCACCCCGTTGGGGGGGGGGGGCAATTTGCCCCCCAAAGATCTCGAAAACCACGCAACCTAGCGACAAGCGGCAACCGTTGTTGTATAGCCCTATCAGGGAACTACCTTATCAGGGTTTCGGAGTCGTGGTAGCGCTGTTCCGACTCCGACTCCGACTCCGACTCCGGGCTCCTGACCGACTCCGACTCCGACTCCGACTCCGACTCCGGGTCTGATACGAATGGCAATGGCGGCCGCCAAAATTTTGCGTGATATGACGCCACGTGCTAGGTATACGTGCACGGGGAGAACGCTCCTACTCTCCGGTTTCCTTCCTGCAGTCACCATTTCTCCCACGTGGACGCAGCTGAATCCACAAGAGGTCGCGGCCAGCGTGGAAACCCGCCGAGAAGCGCGAGAGGCGGCCGTATCACGAACACGAGCATCGCCATCATGTCGGTCATTCCATATGTGTTGATACTTTTCGGAACATAAACGAAGAAAATAAAAATACAGTTGTCATTTAGTCTTTGACTCGTCAAATACTTCAGATAGTGGAAGTTATAACAGGCATGCAAAATACGACTACTAAATTATGATATCACTTGAAACTTGTAGGATCCAATTTTTGTCATTTAGAACAAAAACAAGATGAGTGCAATTTTCATCGCCGGAAGTGAATTCTACCGTGGGCAACTGGTAAAAAAAAAAAACTGAAAAGTGATATCACAGATTCTAGTTAATTTCCGGAGTCGGAGTCGAGGCAGCTTGACCGACTCCGACTCCGACTCCGACTCCTGGCTGCTTGCCACGACTCCGGGCGACTCCGACTCCGACTCTGACTCCGACTCCGAAACCCTGTACCTTATGACCCAATTTTGTTGACCTAGGTCAAACCGATGATGTCACAGGTCAGGTCAAAGGTCGAATTTTCACCGTTTACAGGCATTTCAAGAAATGCGTTGTAAAATCGAGTAAAATGCATTTCATTGAAAATCATCGATGGGGAAATGTTCTTCAAACACATATTTTGCTATTTGAGGTCACTGATGCCAGGTCAGGCCACAGAGGTCAGGTCACTGGGGCGGGGGGGGGGGTCACAATATGAAAATGTCGTGTGATACATGTTTTATGGTCCATTTTACATGACAAATGCGATTATGTGGGTCAGGCAGACTTTTGGGCCAGCTTTGGTCACGTTTTGGTCAAGGTCAGGTCAAGGTCAGGTCAAATTAGGTCAAATTTCAAAGTTGATATGTTTGCACAAAATGGGCATTGATTTGATGCAGCTCGTCACGGGGAGTTCAATGGTGGTCTTTGTTTTGCCCTACGTGGTCTAGAATCGCTAAAAATTGAGTTAAAAAATTTGACGTCATCATTTTGAACAGTTTTTCGCTATATCTTGGCCAAAAAACGAGACATTGATCTGAAATTTGGTATGTATATAGAAGAGCGCAGGGACTATCACATATATTCCGTTTTTTTCGAAATTCGGATTTTTTTGGATTTTTTTTTACTTTTGGAAAAAAAATATTTTTTTTGAATTTTTTGGGTCAAAACCCCAAAATTTTAAAAATCACAGATAACAGTTTTGTAGCGCCGCTTTTTGTCGACTAGACCATATAAAGAAGTTTGAAATTGCTTTGTAACTGTAGATTTGGTGAGCGTTTCAAGATTGCATTTTTTTGCTAATTTTTGCTCGAACACGACCTCAGTTTGACCTCAATAACTCCTTGCCTAAGGTGACCTAAGACTTGAAATTTGGTGTGAAGGTGTCAAATTGATGCCCTGGAAGGTACTGACAATTTGGCGGCGCTGCGCGCCGCCGTTTTTTTGCTATTCAGGAAAAACCACAGGGAGGGGCCAAATTGCCCCCCCAACGGGGCGAGGGTTAAAAAAGTGACTTTTGAAATAATCCCCTAAAATGCAAAACAAAATAAAAAACTGATCTTTTTGGTTTGCATTTTAGTTTTGCAAAACAAAAAGATCAGTTTTTTTTTGCAATTCCCGCTCCCCGAATGGGCGCAAGAATTGCGCGTGAAACACATATTTTGCTATTTGAGGTCACTGATACCAGGTCAGGTAACAGAGGTCATGTCACTGAGGACCACAATATGAACGTGTTGTGTAATCCTTGTTTAAAGTACCCGGCGGCCGCTGGGCCTCCGCGCCACCCGCCGTCCGCTGGGGGGCATGTAGTTGCCCCCCTTTACTTCTGCGACGATATCGTCGCAACGCGAAGAGATAGAGAAACGAAACTTTGCACATATCTTCCTGAATACATAGTTGAGGTTGTGTCCAAATTTAATGTCGATTTCATCTGAAATGACGTCACAGTGACGTCATAAGTGAAATTATAGATTTGCGACTCTCCAGTTTCCTCACGATATATCAGATATATGGGACCGTATATAAAGGGCCCATTATTGGTCAGGACCTAGATGGAAGTGTATTTAGGTGTTTCAGGATGACAGCAGGTGCTGTCTAGTTCATTTACAGTTGAGTTTCATGCTCAGCGACATCAGAAACGGGCCGTATAGGAAAACGACAATATTTTATGACGTCACTGTGACGTCATCTTAAGTGCTACAACCACCAAATTTCGCTCAAACATTGCCTTGGTATTCATTTGAAGCTACCTTGAGTTTCCCGTTCGTAGCTTATCAGGTTTCGGAGATATGCCGCAAAACGTAAAGGGGGGCAACTCTATGTCCCCCCCCCCCCCCAGCGGCTCGTGGGTTAAACATGCTTAAGGGCTACAGTCTGACCGTCGAGGCCCTCTAGGTGGCCTCTGATGGCCCAAAGCCAGCCTCTGAGGGCCCAGCGCCAACCTTAGACTTCAGAGGACAGAGGGCCCCACGTTAACCTAAGAGGGCCTACATTGTCCTTAGATAGCCCCAAGCTGAGCTGTTCCCAGTGGGCCCCAATCTGGCCTTAGAAGACCCCACGCCGCTGGTCTTAGAGGAACCCACGCTGCCCTTATATTGCCCCACGCTGGTCTAAAGGGCTACGCACTGGCTTCTTTGGGCCCCACGTCCACATTTGGCTATTTAAGGTCCCAAAGCGGACTCTAAATGACCATGCTAGCCTCCGACGGCTCGACTTCGGCTTCTGAGGGCCCTACGCTGGCCTCCAAACCTTTGATAGAAGTTTGTTTAGACATGTTTACGTATGCTTAACTGATTAAGCAGAATTTTGTTATACCGTTACCTACGGTATCACATATATAAAAATAAAAACGTCCGTATGTATGTATGTATGTATGTATGTATGTATGTATGTATGTATGTGACGCGTCAGTCACGCTTGGCGGGCTATTGCTCCGGAACGGTGCGGGCTACGGGGGTGAAATTTTCGACTTAAGTCGGACGCGTGCATCTGTTTGTCGTATCAACTTTTCGAGGGGGTGGGTTCGGCGGTTTGCACGTGGCGGGCGCATCTTTGCCGCATGTTGGGCCGCGGCCGTCGCCGATCAGAGAGCACGCGCATTAGCCTCAGTTTCTTCGCTTGCAAAACTGAGCGAAATCAGAGCCGGAAGTTCACTGACCTTTGGCAATGAATACCGGAACAGGGCACCGCCGGCCAAGAGGAGACGCCAAATTTATTCTGGCAATAACTCGGCCGCTACTGGGCCGATTTTAATGAAAATTGACTTATTACGCTGCGCGTAATGCTGTCCCTCTAGTTACTTATATAAAAATCAAAATGTCCGTATGTGACGCGTCAGTCACGCTTGGCGGGCTATTGCTGTGGAACTGTGCGAGCTACGGGGGTGGAATTTTGGGCGCAAGTCAGACGCGTGCATCTGTTTGTCGTATTAAATTTTGGTGGGGGTGGGCTCGGCGGTTTGCACGTGGCGGGCGCATCTTTGCGGAATTTTGGCCGCGGCCGGCGCCGATCAGACGGAACGCGCCTTAGGCTCAGTTTCTTCGCTTGCAAAACTGGGTGAAATCAGAGCCGGAAGGTCACTGACCTTTGGCAATGAATACCGGAACAGAGCACCGCCGGCCAGGAGGAGACGCCAAATTTATTCTGGCCATAACTCGGCCGCTACTGGGCCGATTTTATTGAAACTTGATTTATTACGCTGCGCGTAATGCTGTCCCTCTAGTATGGTATGAATGTTAGGTATGGTGTAAAGGTCCGCTTATACGGTGCATATTAGGTGGTATATGACATTCTGATTTCTGGAGTCTGGTTTGCCCCCCATCCCCCAGTCGAAATTCCTTAGCCGAGGTCCTGCTGTGTGACTGTGTCAGTCCTGCTGTGTGACTGGCTGTATCCTATACGTCCTATCCATCCTATAAGTATACATCTGGTGTTTCTAAGTGCATCAGGAGCCAATCGCCAGGGGTCGTACAACCAGACCCTCCCTCTGCACCGTCCGCGTTATGAAAAAGGCCTGGCCATGGGGTAAACATTCGTAGTGATAAACGTGTCTTTATTATATCGCTTTTTTTGCGAAAAAGTAGTAACGATAGTAAATTTTGATATTGGTTACCTAAGACCTGTTTGCCTGCCTGCCAAGCTTGCCTGCCTGGTATGCAACAATGCGGGTTACATGACAAAACAGTCGTAATACGTAATGACATGTCGTTTTGTGACGTGATTAGACACGACGCTGCACGACATGACGTAATGCGTACGACGTAACGCTACGTACTAGGCCACTGATTTATGATGAGTAGAAACGTAAAAAACTGTAATTCTGCGTTCCAGATGGAGATGACAGATGTGCGTGAAGACCTGGCCGCCTTTCGCCGGGAGGTGTCCGCCCTTCGTGAAGTGGTGTCCGCCCTTCGTGAAGAGATGTTCGCCCTTCGTGGAGTGGTGGCCCCCCTTCGTGAAAAAGTGACCATTCTAAACGAGGTGGTGGCAAAAGACAATAAGGAGACAAAGAAGCTCAAGGGGGAGTACGCCGCACTTCACGATGCGATGGTCCGCCTGGAGCAGGCAATTATCGAAGAGCGGACCACTCGCCAGACCGTGGTGGAGGATCTGCGGCAGGAGGTCCGCCGGCGAGCGGCGCCATCCGGCCGTCCCCAGGGGTGAGACTGGGAGGCAGCAGGGGTGGCTGTGGGGGCTGATAGATTTCGGAGAGCTGTCATGGTGAGAAGTAAACGTTCTTTGTAGAAGGTGTAAGAAATAAAACATCACTAGGTCTTTGAAGGTCGAGTAGCTTGTAATTGTAATTTCCGCCCAATTAAAGAAACATGCCTTGAATTCGTACCATCTTCTGCAAGTTAGCCGTTTAGTCTCGATCGTATTGTTCCAGCTTTCGACAGACGTCCTGCAATCTGCATAATGTTGGCCAGTTCGGGGCATTATATCCCGCACGTATTTACATGTCTTCATCAGCAATCGTGTCACAAAATCTAATCGGTCGTATCAAATCGTTCAGATTCGTATGAAATCAACTCTGAACGATTTTATTCAACCGAATAGATTTGACAACCTGCTATTGCTGACGACGATATGTAGGGGAGAGAGGTCATATTGCACCATGTTCTTAACCCGCGCCCTGGTGTGGGTCTGAGCCACCTTCGCCCTGGTGGGGGGGGGGGGCCAAAATGACCCCCCGTCTAACTCGAAAACGAAGAGGGCTAGGAAGACGCGGAAAAAAGCAAACGAAAGCCCATAACAAGTACGTTCGAAAGTATTTCGGTCATTTTTTCGCTAAGGTCAATATTGAGGTCGCTAGAGGTCATCATAGGTCAAATTTCAGTGTTTTCGGTGTTGCCGGACATATTCCGCTGTAGCTCGGAAACTAGAAGAGCTAGAGAGCCGCGGAAAAAAGCAATCGATAGCTCTTTTCAAGCTCTTTCGCCAAAGTTCGTCAGATTTGACCTCAGCTCAACGGTTTGGCCTACAGAGGTCATGCAATGTCAACTTGGCAAATTTCGTTGAAAATGTTTTTAACTATAGCATGCATTCACGAGAAAATAGAGAAACGATTCATGCACCATCGTGCTTGGCTCGTCGAGACGCGTCGAATGATATATAGTTTGACCTCGAAAGGTCATTTTGAAAATTTGACCTCAGGTCAAGGTCATGACCTTACCGAAATAGGTAATGCTGCATATCATTCGATCCGCATTGACGAGACAAACACGATAAACGTCGAACGGAGTCTCTATCTCTATTCAATAACAAGTAAGTGCAGAAAAACCGCTGGTGACCTCTGGTGACCAGGGAGATGACCTAGCGTGACCTCAGCGAGGTCACAAGCAAATGGTTTCACATGGGCTGTGATTTGCTGACCCAAGACACTTCAATAACGAAATATAGGAACAATCACGCCCGATTTAGCTGAAAAAACAACTACTTTTCGATTCTCCCATTGACTTATAATGGGGAGCAGCGATGACCTGACCTGACCTTAGGTCACATTTATAAAAAATCCGAGATAGCCATTTTGTAGAGCTGGGTGACATCTTCAAGTACTGTAAATTTTACATCAATCGGATAAAAGCTGTGCCTTTGAGAGAGCTTTGAACTTTTTTAGAGGTGGTGTCAGTTTTGGTGACCTTGTGACCTGACCTGACCTGACCCGAACCCCCCAAAAAAGGACATGATGTAAAAATGTTGAATAAACAGCTATACAAAGTTTCAGGGCGCTAACTCAAGTGGTTTCTGAGTTATCGCTGAAAAACCACAGGGGGGGGGGCCAAAATGGCCCCCCCCCCCCACCAGGGCGAAGGTTAAATGCGCCACACCTTCCTCCTGTCCAAAATTCGATTCGAATGAATGCTCGAATGTGTGCATTTACTTCACCACCAATAACTCGCTCTTATTCCGGTCCACGGGGGCAGGTGAGGTGTCTCAGCTTTCTCGCAGACCATTTTTTGTGATTTCCTCTATTTTCTTACGCGAAACAGTCTATTTCGACCTTTGCTAGTGTCATGGTTTATCTTATAGATAGTGATTCAACTAATGATCATTGTTAATTGCTCGTTTAATGGTAGTTTTGAAAGTTTATCATCACCGTGGCTTCGCTGTCCTCGCCATATTTGAAGCTCATGAAAAATGTGTTCCAACCGTAATTGCGTCCACCCTATTTGCGCCCTATTCTTCAGCCCAGAGAAACAGCATCTTGTGGTTGGGACACATTTCATTGAACACTTTGAATATTAGAGCGCTCACCTTACCATTACCTTAGCCTTCACAGCATAAATGGTTAATGGGCTGACACGTCCAAAAAGGCTACTTAGTTAGGTGGCAAACCGTTGTTTTTAATAGGGCGCTTTTACATGAGAGGCATGGGCGCTTTTTGATGGGGTAGTCCGTAAATGCGCCCTTTGCAGGTGTGTCGGAAAACTTTTCTCTTGTTATTTTTTATGGGTGTGATACAAATTAGGAGTTGTAATTTGATGCCAAAATAACTGAGGTACAATTTGAGATATCATCAAGCATGACAGCTGGTCAACTATAGCCGCAATAGGCCGATATCCTTAACCCTATTAGTGGCAGGCTCCTGGCTACCCCTGGCAGGGGGGCTGTTTACGACCCCCCCCCCTGATATCTCGAGATCTAACGGGCCGATTTTCAAAATTCAAACGGCTTCGATTTCGCTCCACGTGATCTACATTTCTAAAAAATGAAAATAAAAAATGTAAATAGGGGGGGGGGTAGAGGGGGGTAAAAACGGGCAAATTGCAGATACATTTTAGACTGTTTATCACGGCCAGGTTTCTGAACCAATCTTAACGCAACTTTTGCCCATCGATAGAGAATGAACCAGGAATTCACATGGATCCTAAAAATATGCATTTTCAAAAATCATAGGCGGATACAGATCATTGAGATTCGGGGTACACAAAAAGTATAGTAAATAAGGTTTTTGTTGGTACTGTTTCTAAAAAGGGTGGTAATGGTCTTGTTATGTTACAATTTTCTTATGAGAGAACGACTACAATTTTATTGGTCATGCATAGGCGGTGTCAGGGCACCTATGTTGGGAGGTAAAACATGACCCCCTTTTTGGACGCCTGGATCCACCTATTATAGCAAAAACGTGTCAAAAGAGGATGCACAATAATTTTTTATATGTTATCACATGATACCTTTCATTCACTGTTCGTAAAACTGGTGCAGCATCGTGATCTTCGCCCAAATGACTCGCTTCACGAATAGGACCCCCCAATTCCCAGTGCTCTGGAGCCGCCCCTGGTAAAGTTATGAACTTGAAATTTTCAGAAAATGTGTCCAATTTAGTTTTAGGAAAAGTCAGAAAATTTCAGCATCGTAGCTTCAGCGGTTTCGGAGATATTCCCGAAAAAAAAACTGAGGGGTGGATGAAATCAACCCCCCCTGCCACTAATAGGGTTAAGGTGGCGCAATATGACCTCTCTCCCCTACCTAAATGCATATCGGATCATCAAAGGAGCCAACTAAAGTTGTGAACTTCTTTTGCATTTTGATTTATGTTCTTTTTCTTGTCTTTTCAGTAAAATTACAAAAGCGTTTCATGACGTCACGGCACAGACGGAGCCCCAGCCATCGGCACACAGTGACGTCATAGTACAGACGGAGCCCCAGCCATCGGCAGACAGTGATACCACAGTGCTGAGAGAGGCGCTAAGGACCGTGACGACGTTCGACGCTCCGTCGGCCATTGGCGAGGATCAGCTGACGGCGCTCCTGCAGAGTCTTCCCCACTTGGAGGAGCTGACCGTCAGGGTCCCGTCCTTCGGAACGGGGCGGTGGCTGCGGCTGCTGCCGACGTCACTGAGGACGCTATACGTTGCCGGTGAGAATATGTTGAGGAAACGCGTACTATTACTTCTGAATGGTGGTAGGTACTTACATAGTATGTACATAAAGTAACAGTTTCAGTGATAAACGTTCAGCGGACATATGTGTGCCATGCTACCTACATGCTACACAGACATTAGCCACTGTATTGTACCTACCTACTTTATACTATCATGCAAACGAATATGACCTGTATGTACTGAACCTGTATGACCTGTATGGACTAAACTGTATTAATTAACTGACGCATGTATAAGCGTAGTGCATGCTTTGTGCACTATGTTCAATTACTGTCCAACAGTGAGGCTCGAACCTTACGTTGTCAGTGTCGTCTGTGTCAGTGTTTGACACCACAGTGTCAGCCGCCCCCCGACCCGGCAGCAGCTCCGTCCGACTGCAGTCAGCTGACACAGCTCTGTCCGACAGGGCCGGAGATGACGGAGCCGAGGTGGCCGGGATGGTACGGGAATGGTCTGTCGGTATCTCTCCAGGGGGTGGCTGCCGACACCATCAGTCACCTGGCCACGGAGCTGGGGTCACGGATTACCCTACTAGTCACGGATGGTGAGCAGCGGTTGAAGTTACTCATATATGAATGGCTAGGAAGGGATAAACAACAGTAGGGGCATTCCACGTCAAATCGGACAAAAATCGGCTGTTTTGCACCTTACCATCAGCGATTTCATTATAAATTTGTGAGCGAGTTCCTGTGTGGCCCCGGACATTACATTGATGTTTTTTGCACATTCTGACCACAGGTCTTCTAAATATAGGGCATCAAATTTTTACAAAATGTTGCATCTTTATATTTTTGAACGACCATAACTTTGGTTGTACTTGTTTGATTTGAATGAAATAAACCTTACTGTTTAGGTAATTTCTTAAGCATTTGTTTAGAATTGCACTAACTTAAATATATGACCTTGAAATTTGCTTAACTCTGTTCTTAAGCACAAATATTGAAATAGCAAAAAACACGTCACCTTCGATTTGGCTCATTTTCATATATTTTATTGCCTACTATATTCTTAACAACCTGTGAAAAAATTAGAGTGGGCCATTCATAAGTTTTGAAGAAAATTGCACATATGCAAACGTATGTTAGCACGCGCAGTGGAGGGGGAAGAACGAATTTCGCCCACCCCTCCTGTTTTTTCGCCAATATCTCATAAGATTGATGCGAAATTAATTATGGCTACCTGTCAAGAATTGAATTGGGCATCTCATCGTGCAAGCAATAAGAAAATCGGTTCACAAATGTTCTAGTAATAGCGGTGTAAAGTGAACATCCTGTCGCCGCAGCAACGCGGCGGCTCGGCAGCCGGCGCCGACCGCTACGCGCCGCCTGAATTGTAGACTGTGCCGGGACGGAACGGAACGGTTCCGTCTTTACATCGCGCTCCCTACCGCTGATTACTTTCGATTCGCGTCAAATTTTGTGAGAAGACTAAGAAATGTACAGGCAATCTTATGGTGAAAGAATTTTGAAAATCGGTTGGTAAACAATTGAAATATGAACGTGTAAACACAAAATTGTGATTGCTGCGTTTCCCGCATCGGCCGAGCCCGCCTCAGCCGGCGACATGTTACTCTTAGCAGGCCTCTAACTGCCATATTTATTATTGGATTAACTAGAAATTCCCCATACATACTAAAAAATGTATGTTCTTTCGTATAGTGCAGATCAAAAGACGTGAAAATATCGTAGCGTGATAATGTTTTCGTTGAATTTACTTCATGATGCATTTCCACACGGCTCAAAATTCACCGCAAAATACCGTTTGCCTGAGACACTTTTACTATGGAACGTGAATGCTTGACTACGATGACTATGCATTTCCATTCTCGCAGAGTTTGTGATATCACTAATCAGCAATCATTCATTTCAGAAAGTGTACACAAGCAAGCATGTCTTGACTCTGTCTTTCAAGGTCACGCGCGGTTGCGTGATGTTGATGCATGAAAACGGCGTTTGCCGCGAAAGTTATGAATGGCCCACTCCAATTTTTTCACAGATGGTTAGGAACATTGTGACGGACATAATATGTAAAAATTACCCAAATCGAAGGTGACGTGTTTTTTGCTATTTAAATTTTTCTGTTTTAATTCAAGGTCAAATGCATTTCAAGGTCACTTCAATTTAATTTTATAATTAAAAATCAAAGCCTTATCAATTGCCTATAAGACCCTGTTAATATCATTTTGATATCAGAAAAGGAACCAGAGTTATAGCCATTTAAAAAATTGATGTGTGGCATTTTTCGCTATATTCGATGACCTATATCTCAGCGATACGTTATCAAATTCTGAAAATATTATACGTAACTCAGTTTTGAACCATGCCCAGTCTGCCTACAAATTTTCAGAAAAATCGAAGGGGATGACGGATTTCGGTGTTTGATTTGACGTGGAATGCCCCAGTAGCTGTTCCGGCGCTCAGCATTCGCTGGCTGTGACGTCACGGCCACCCCGGCGGGCCGCGGCCCGGCTGACCTCCAGTGACCTTGAGACGCGCCGCCGGCCGCGTCAGCTGATTGTCGGCGGTGCGCACTGCGCGGCGACCCCAAACGCTGCCGGACTGGTCAGGTGCAGGTGGCGCTGCCGGGCGCTTCTGAACGGGGCAGGGAGCGACACAGGGACACGAAGAACAGGAAAACTGGCCGGCGACAACGCTCCTTGCTTGTTATTTTTGCTCTAAGGAACTGCTTTTTTCTAGCAAATGTTCATAAATAACGTGGAGAAGCAGTTTATCCCTGAAAGTCTGAAGCCTAAATCAAACCAAGAATAACTGCATACAACACATATTACATGTATTGCAGGTAATGCTCAATGCTGCCTCATCCTAAGGTAAGACGGAAGCCATAAGCCATGGCAAGCTGTAGGATGACAAGTCGTGTGCCGTGTGGTGAATGGTGATGGTCAATGATTTGGGCCTCTATTGGACGTAATATTTACGCTACAAATTTTATAACGATACAAAATTGTTATAATTAGCTACACATAAGTGCTGAACAAATACTTATGTGAAAAGGTTTCAAAAACTCATCATGATGTCATATTGATCAATTGACATCATGAAAATATGCCTAGTTCGGAATATATTGGACTAATTAGTGGTGATTTTGTTTTATATGTCAAAGACCCATTATCATTTTATTTGTTAAATATTATGTTACGGAAAGTCGCCGTAACTTATGAAATTCACATCGTTTTGATAAAGTACATACATATTTACTCAGACACGGAATTATCACAGCATTGTAGCCACAAACAGTTTTCACTTTGTGTTTTCTACACCTGTAGGTAAGTGTACAATGTTTGACCTAGACAAATGCCTGACATTGGTTCAATCACCTTTCCAGCACAAGTTACTACTATTCCAAGTCAACTTCGTGATGCCATCATCAGGGTGGGCCCAAACACTATTATCCTTCCGGCCGGAGTCGGTGACAGCGAGCTGACGGAGCTGCGGAGCTCACGGGAGACTGTGGAGCGGCTGTCAGTCTCCACCGCCGACCTCCCGCGACTGAGGGGGCAGCTGCCGGAGGGCCTCAAGCGCCTCAATGTCAGAGGTGAGATACCACGGATCATACATGTAATGCCGGTATAATGGACAATGCACATGGATATACAAATGAACAGGGAGACAGACGGCAAATGGACGAACCGTTCGAATTCAGCCAACATCTTACAGCCTTGTTTGTGTTATATGGTATTGTTAGAGTGATGCAATGCATGCATTTGCATATAGTGTGAGCATCAAGTGCATGCATGAAATATTATTGTAGCATTTATGGTAATTTGAAATGGTTTCATTGCAACCACTGCGAACCATATATTTATGTTGTCTACCAACCTGATCCGTTACTATACCATGACTGGCTGCCCAGTGCCTAGGCCAATGTGCCTTGCAAAAATCGTAATACTTATGTTGCTCATATTTGCATATTTACGTATGTATGCTGTTGGTAAAAATATCGTTGTGCAGCCGCTCGGATGTGTTAGTGCTGGCTGTGTCAGTGTGTGCCACTCTGGTGTCAGTGGTGCAGCGGGGAGCTGGCGGCAGCTCTGTCCGACTGCAGTCAGCTGACACAGCTCTGTCCGACAGGGCCGAAGGTGACGAAGCCGAGGTGGCCGGGATGGTCCCCGTCGGATGGGCTGTCAGTGTCGCTCCAGGGGGTGGCTGCCGACACCATCAGTCACCTGGCTGACCTGGGACGGACGGTCACACTACTGGAGATATACGGTGAGCAGCGGCAGCACGGACAGGCCGCTGATAAACGTGCTCAGTGAATGGCGGACATCGAGTAACGGTGTGCCGGTGTCGCACCTAATGGAGACAGAAGTGATACATAGCCAATGTGCTTTGCGAAATAATGAAGCCAATTGAGCTCCAAAATGGAGGAATGTTCACTCAGTGACATATTCGTTCAGAGTTAGTTGATCATACTCATAACAATTGTGTTGCACTGTTCAATGAAGTTCAATGCATTTGCTTAACATTGCATATAGGTATCATATAATAGCACTGTCTTACCATTGTCTACTGTGTCCATAAAACCATGAAAATTATTAGGTGTTTTTTCGTTTTGTCATATATCGACATATATTACAGCTAACTGTTTCTGTCTGTATGTGTGTCTGTGTGTTTTCCAGACTGTCCTGATCTCACGGCCGGCAGCCTGGAGCCCCTCACCAGGTGCCCTGAGCTGCTCAGTCTCACCTTGTCCGGTGGCGTCCCTGACACCGTGAGCCTGGAGCCCCTCACCAGGTGCCCTGAGCTGCGATGCCTATCAGTCACCGCCGCCGACCTTCCGCGACTGAGGGGGCAGCTGCCGGAGGGCCTCATACTCCTCAATGTCAGAGGTGAGATACCTCAGATCACACATGTAATGCCGGTATATGCAAATGAACAGGGGAGACGGCAAATGGACGAACTGATCAGCCTCAACTAGCAAGTTTCATCGTTAATCGTGTATATTACTCGTCTCGTATTGTGGTGAGAGGGGGAAGGGGTTCAATGCATGCCCTTCGATAGTGTCCATGCTTGTGGCATATGCGTGGAATATTAGTGTAACGTCACGGGGTGATTTAAAAGTTGAGGTACTAGCGATAGTTGCATTGTCACAAGCAGCAAATTTCCGAACAAACGTATTTAGTATTAGTGCGAATTCGGCATCCGGAAAATCAGGGATAATTTTCCGGGATCAACGGGATCATTCGGTGTTTTAGGCTGACACCGTGCACAACGGACATGCCAATGAGTAAAAGAGCCATTACTGAAGCAAAAGCAATATAAAAATATGACTTATTGCATCGATAGTCCTTGCAATACCAAATTATTACCGGTGATCCCGGATAATTATCCCTCATTTTCCGGATGTCGAACGCACGCCTGATCGACAACTGACACTGACTGACTACCTAATAGAGAGCTCGCTGACGACGAGTCTGAGCAGACTGACGAGACTGACTGGCCGCGGCCCTGGAGCGGCGGTTATACAGAGTATAGGTGGCGCCACGATCGAAGGCGGCCAGCAGGGAATGCATGAGCATTGCTACAATTAGTAAGCACTCGAGCAGTTATTTCCAATGAGGGATGATTATAGACATTGTGCAACCAATAAGAGTAGTATAAGTAGTTTCATAGACTACTGTATTATGCATATACTTATCGCATTTACATATTATGTTCATATTCACATTCTACATATCCATATGACTGCTGGTGCTAAATATCGTTTTGCGGCCGCTCGTCTGTTTCAGTGCTGACTGTGTCAGTGTATGACACTCTGGTGTCAGTGGTGCAGCGGGGAGCTGGCGGCAGCTCTGTCTGACTGCAGTCAGCTGACACAGCTCTGTACGACAGGGCCGGAGGTGACGGAGCCGAGCTGGCCGGGATGGGACGAGGATGATGATCTGTCAGTGTCGCTCCAGGGGGTGGCTGCCGACACCATCAGTCACCTGGCTGACCTGCGACGGACGGTCAGAGTACTAGAGATATACGGTGAGCAGCGGCAGCACGGACAGGCCGATGATATACGAACTCAGCGAATGGCGGACACTGAGTAACGGTGTGCCGGTGTCGCACCTCATTGAGACAGGTGTGATGCATACAGTGGCGGATCCAGGGGGGGGGGGGCAAAATGGGCATTTGCCCCCCCAAACGGCATAATTTTAACATTACGCCTATGGACGATGCATGGAAAGAATCGATAAATTGTTATGGTTTGCCCCCCCCCCAAACTCTGAGCTGGATCCGCCTCTGGATGCATAGCCAATGTGATTTGTGAAATAATGAAGCTAATTGAGCTCCAACCAGACTTGTAAGCGATTCAACTCTGATTGAATCGATTCTCATGAATCGCTTGAAAATGCCGACTCACTGTGATTGAGTCGGTTGAATCACCTCTTGTCACCATATGAATCCTGATTGAATCGGTCACACATGGCAACTGCAAGTGATTGAATCGGGAACTCATCGATTCAAGTTGATTGAATTAACAAAATGATTCAATCATCATGTGCTGGAAATTGAAGTTATGACCATATTTAGTACTATATTATGTAGAAATATATGTGGCATTTGCATCATAGTCACACACAATGCACTGCAATTTTTTTAGGGATTTTGTCAGCATTATAAATGCGCACAGCTATCATTATTGAAAAAACATAAAAATTTTGTTTTAAGTTTTCCATCAAACTGTAAACATAAAATTATACATGTCAATGCATGAAGATGAAAAATGCATGTAAAGTTTCTTTCCATTGCCCTAAAATCATTATAGTAATCAAGTTAACAGTAGCAGTAAGCAGGCGCACATTGCTCAACACACATGTTTTAGATATCATGTTAATCTTTATATTTTCAATACTCTGTTTCATCAGGACATTTGTGAGCAAGCAAAACATATTGATGAATACACAATGCATGTTCACATTATAATTTGGTAACCTTAGTTACTGATTTGATTTTGGGCTAAGGGTCATAAATTGCTTGATCTAACCCATGGTCTTCTCACTCACTTTACATTTCCGAGCAGAATTAGCAATTACCTATCAACGTAACTAATTGGAATACCTTGGCTTATGAGCATTGATGGATCTGTCACATATTGCCGTGTGGTGGCTCCCAATTACATAAAAGTAAAGATACAATGGCAAAAAGTAGATACATACCCTACTAGGTATTAAAAAACAACCACCTTCCCATCACCTCCACCATCACCCAAAAACTATTGTTTTGATAGCTCAACAAACAATCATTATCCGTTTGGTGTTCTTCACCTTCTAGTTTTGAGGACCGCTAACAGTTTTGCATTCGATGCTAAATTCGGATTAGAGATTTGCCAGACTGCTCGCAATATTTGCAACATGCAAACCACGCAAAATACGCTTTTATGTCGCAGCTGCGTCAATATACGCTGCAACTACCTAGTGCTGGGCTAAATACATATTGCCAAACCAATTTAGATTTTTACTGTTGGGTATTTTTTCTTTAATGAATTGGACAGAATAAAAAACTGTTTTACACGCATGCATAAATATGCTTAATTGAATCTAAAAATATAAACTATGTATTTTATATCCATGGTTCTGCTCCTAAATTAAAGATGGCTGCCCACTTAGCGCATGCGTACTTCAGTACTAAAGGCCTGGCTACACTACGCGTGTTCTGCGTGTCGCATGGTGTCGTGGGGCGGGCTTGGAATTGTTATTTTGTCATTGAAGATATGGATGGTTGAGGTAGTTTTATCATGAGAGCATTCAGTTTATATTATGTAACTATTGAATAGCTTCGTATGTGTCGATATTCCGTATTCTTGATAGTAAAGAAAACTTGTAGCACGCCGAAAATGTCTAGTCCTGTGTAATGCTTTACCGGCTTTACCACTGCTTCATAAAGTATCAATCAATATCTTTTTTTTTTGAATGGCTGATCACCAGCTATTTTAGTTTGGGTACCACAATTGATTTGCAAATTTTGGTCCTTTTCGATGTTGCTGATAATATTTTTTTTTTTGTTCTGTGCAATTTTGTATGTTTCCTTTTGCAAGCGCCAAGCAGATAAATGAATTATTATAAGTCCTCTGGTAGTTTCATTTGTAACAGAACTTGTCTTTTCTGTACTTAAATTATCATCTTTACACCGTATTGATATAAATATCTACAACTTTGTTGAGTTCAGTATAGATTTAGTACTTTTCAGTGTTTTTTGGTATTTTCCTAGTGTATTTGGTTGGTATCTGTTTGGTATCAGTTTCCAAAAATGTCTTAAATTGATATCACATATGTATATATTCTATATAACATCTTGATTGAATCGCGTTGAGTTAAATCATGAGTTGAGTCATTCCCTGAATCACTGATAATGGGTTGAGTCGTGATTGAGTTGAATCACAAGGTCCATGAGTCGTGATTGAATCGCTTGGAAAATCAGACTGTTTGATTGAGTTATGATTGAATCGGTCATTTCATCAAGTGAGTCGTGATTGAATTGATTGAATTTTTTTGAATCGTTTACAAGTCTGGCTCCAACATGGTGTGAATCAGTAAGGGAAGGGAATCGGTGACATATTCGTTTAGACTTAGTTGAACGTACACATAATGATTGTAATGCAATGTTCAATGCAGTTCAATGCATCGGTTGAAACTTGAACTGATTGCATATCATATATTAGGTACCATTGTTAATCAATATATCATCGTCTGTGTCCATAAAACCATGCGAATTCATAGCTGTTTCGTTTTTTTCCGTATATTTACATATATTCCTGCCGACTGATCCTGTCTGTATGTGTGTCTGTGTGTTTTCCAGACTGTCCTGATCTCACGGCCGGCAGTCTGGAGCCCCTCACCAGGTGCCCTGGGCTGTGGTGGCTCACCCTGTCCGGCGGCGTCCATGACGCCGTGCTGGACAGTCTCAGCGGCTGCCCCGGGCTGAAGGTCCTTACACTGGGGAACCGCCAGCGGCCGGCAGAGACGGCCTTCACAGCAGCAGCGTACACCAGGTCAGTCAGCAGACACTGGCGAGGCGGGTCCTGTCAGACACTGACACTGACACACTGACACTGCACTGACACTGCACTGACACTGACACGCATACACTGACACTGACACTGACACACTGACACTGCACTGACACACTGACAATGACACTGACACACTGACACTGACATACTGACACTAACACACTGACACTGGCACTGTCACTGACACACTGACACACTAACACTGACACACTGACACACTGACATCAACACACTGACACTGCACACTGACACTGACACACTCACACTGACACTGACGCACTGACACTGACACACTGACACTGACACATTGACACTGACACACTGACACTGACACACTGACACTGACACACTGACACTGACACACTGACACTGACACACTGACACGGACACCAACACACCGACACTGAACTACTGACACTGACACTGACTCGTACGTCCGGCCGGCTGGTGCCGCTGTGTTTGTGTGTGACGTCTCTGCTGCTCTGCTCTGTTACAGACTGGTGAAGTCGTGTCGGAAGCTGCAGGAGCTGTGGCTTCACTGCACGGCAGACACCGGCCAGGCCGTGCTGACCGCCCTGAAGGAGGCGGACCTGGGCCGGGACAGTGATGGCCGGCCCCGTATCATCAATCTCATTGTCCCCGGTAGGTGAGAGGGCGCCGCGCTCCGCGCCTCTGACCAGTCAGTCCCTCACAACAGACGCTGCACGGCGCCACCGGCCTCTCAGACACACACACTCGAGCACCGCCGCAGGCCACGTCACGGACGGTGACGTGACGCGTCACGGCCACCACGGCCGACGGTGACGTCACGTCAACCGTCTGTCCTGTGTGTGACGTCACTGGCTGGCGGTGTGTGGACATGGCTGTACCGCTGTCTGTGTGTCTGTCTGTGTGTGACGTATCCACCTCAGACGTGTCTCTGCTCTGTCCACAGAGGAGCTGTGGCGTCAGCTGGAGAGACAGGAAGGCGGTCGGGTCACAGTGTATCCGTGGTAGTATTGCTGCGCTGCACTACCGACCGTGCAGTGATGAGCTGACTGCAGAGAGGCCGAGCCAGTCGGCCGGGGCCGCCAGCTGACTGCTGCCGTGTGTGCTGCACCAGCCGGCACTGAGAGCGGCGCCGGTCAGCCGGCACACGGCCCCGGTGTCCGCTCTAGTGTAGTCATGTAGTTTTAGTAGTTGTAGTGTAGATGTAGTAGTAGCACACGCATGTGATGTAGTGGGTAATTACCGGGTGGGTATTGTGGGTAATTGGCTGGAACGATGTGATCTAGTGGGTAATTACCGGGCGGATATTGTGGGTAGTTGGCTGGAAGGATGTGACCTGGTGGGTAATTACCGGGCGAGTATTGTGGGTAATTGGACAGTGAAAAGTGATGTAGTGGGTAAATACCGGGCGGGTACTGTGGGTAATTGGACGGAGGTATGTGATGTAGTGGGTAATTACCGGGCGGGTATTGTGGGTAATTGGACAGTGAAAAGTGATGTGCTGGAGAGACTACCGATCGTGGCATTACGCTATTCTGTATGTAGAACCCACGTCTCTGGCCGTCCGACTCGGTTCACCGCGCCTGGTCCCGGCGGCACGGCCGGCCTCGGTCACGTGACCGTCCCCCGGTGGAGTCGGACGGCTCGGTCACGTGACCGCTCCCCCCGGGTCTGGCTGCACCTCGGCTCGGCGGTGCTGAGCGCCGTGCTGAGCGTGTTGTGACACGTCCCACACGGACAGCTCTACTCGACTACTGGCTAGCTGCCGTCCGAGCTGGCAGTATCCACGCGGTGCCAGTTCAGACGGCGGCCGGCCGCGCCGCGCCCGCCCGCTCCGGTCCCGGCCGGCGGCCGTCACCCGGCCCGGGGCGGGGACCGGTCCGTCAGCTGACCATTGGTCCGTCAGCTGATTGGTCCGTCAGCTGATTGGTCCGTCAGCTGATTGGTCCGTCAGCTGATTGGTCCGTCAGCTGCCCCGCTCTCCACTGGCGGAGCGTGGCGCACGCCGAGACTGGAGACGTCAAACACATGTCTACTACATACACGAGAGGAGACGCTTCAGCTGTACTATATGTAGCCTAGGGCAATTAGTTACCGGGCGAGTATGGTGGGTAATTGGATGAAGTGATGCGATGTAGTGGGTAATTACCGGTCGGGTATTGTGGATAATGTAACCCTGGGTATGATATAGCCGGCTATCCAACGGTCGGATATAGTCAGCTGGATGCTACTGAATTGTGTAGAGCTCTTACGGCACCGGTCATAACGAGTGTCCTCGCGTCTGTCCGACTCGGTTCACGGAAGCACGCCGTCACGGCCCGGGGGCGCGCCGCCATGTTTTGTGTCCTCTGCTTCGTACAGGGGGGTAATTGGGCTACCGACCGATTGGGAGTCGGAGTCGGAGTCCGTGTCGATCAAGCTGCCTTGACTCCGACTCCGGAACGGCTTTTTAGATTTTAGTTATCACTTGGCCATGCTACTGATAATCGGCTGCGCTTTGACTAATACATTTTACACATGTCCAGTCTTTGTCCTGGGAAACAGTTACCTTCGGAGCTTACCTCATCATTTGTGCTAATGTCCTGGTGACCAGAGTACAGTTTGGCCGGTCGGCAGACAGACCGACCGGTCACCGCCAGGTCACGGCCGGCCCACTGACAAGCACGCCGTGCCGCCGCCGGGGCCGTGGCCGTGCTCCGGCCGTGCCCTGACCGGGCTCACCGGCTCTGACCCACCGGCCTCAGAGATCTGACACCAACTACCGGCTGGACGAGCCGCCGAGCGGCCTGCCGACCGACCGCTCCCGTATGGCAGCGGGCCGCCGCCAGCTGCACCACCCGACACCGACAACAAGCACCGACACACTGTCACAGCACATCCAGCAGCCGGCTTGTCTCGCTGTCAACCACGTGCCCTCGCCGGTCCATCAACGCAATCACAAAATCAACTAATCACCCTCGCCTGCCCATCAACACACTCACTAAATCAACTAATCACCCTCGCCTGTCCACCAACACACTCATAAAATCAACTAATCACCCTCGACTGTCCATCAACGCACTCACAAAATCAACTAATTACCCTCGCATGTCCATCAACCCACTCACAAAATCAACCGGTCACCTCTCGTCAAATACACACAAAATAATACCGAGCTCACAGCCATTCCCGTATTTATCGGAAATTCCCACCACAGCAGTCACCCCCGTTGCCGTCGTGTGGCCTTTCCGTTGCAGTGCGGGACGATTGTCAGCCCCCGTCGCTGCTGTGGCCAGCGGGCGGCTCCAGCACAGCGGCGAGCGTTACTGGCTGCAGCCGGTGTGTCCGTGCCCACAGCCGGGTGCAGCTGTTGGAGGCCGTGTTGGAGGCCAGTGTGACGTCACACCGTCGTGCCGTCCCAGTCCGTGTCAGTGTCCGAGTGACAGTGGTCTATATATATACAGTGTCAGCTGTGTCCAGCTGCTGGTGCTCCGACTGTCAGCTGAACTGACACACTGACACCGCAGCCCCTGACAGTGTCAGACCGGCCCCCGGTCAGTGTCAGCTGCCGGCACGGAGAGCGGTCCGGTGACACTCCCAGCTGCAGCCCCCTCCCCGTGGCTGGTGCCGCTGCAGTCTTATTGTGCCGGTGGTCAGCTCCGTCAGAATCCACCACAAACAGCTGCCGTCACTCCTCTGCCGCCGCTCCGACACTCTATTCCGGCAGCCGGGCACCAAACAGCTGCAGTGGCTAGCAGTGCATTCACTCCACACGGACACACCGCTCGGAACGTCTCGCCAGACGGACCCGTCTCGGCCGGAGGGGGCGGTGAGGGGGACGCGGCGAAGGCGGCCAGAAGACGGCGCAGCCGAAGCCAACCAGCAGACGCCTCTGCGGCACGCGCGCCACGCACAGACCAATCAGCAGACGCCTCTGCGGCACGCGCGCCACGCACAGACCAATCAGCAGACGCCTCTGCGGCTCTCGCGTTACGCACAGACCAATCAGCAGAAGACTCCAGCGACTGGCTCCGGCCGGCCGCTGGAAAATGGCCGTAGAAAAGAGGCACACCCGCCGACACCTTAGGGCTGGTCAGTGGCGTTCGGTGGCGTGGTGGCAGCACGGCACGGGGTGGGGCCGGGATGACATGTCGTAGACGATATGGTCTCCGAAACACCCGGGAAATCTGACGTCCCAGCCGGTACGTCCCCAGCTGTCCTCAGCCGGTACATCCCCATTGATGCATAGGTAGTTTGAACAGCTACTTCTTTGTTCGTTTGGAAATACATTGTTTTGATATGCAAGATGACATGATTGGGTGTAAAATGTCATGGTCCTGCAATACACAGTATCACTTCGCTGTAAGTCCGACATAACGCTGTAGGTGTGTCAGCTTGCGTTTTTTTCTAATGCGAGCGGCCAGGAGGCGGGTGTATGACCCCCTGACGAATGACTTATATGGCATCTAGAAAGCTGTCCTCAGCACGATATCTAGAAACACGATATTTAAAGGGTAGGTAGTTAATAGGTGGACCAATAAAAATGTCCCTCCTGTACAACATTGGTAAACCTAGGTGTTAGCGAGCAAATACGTTGGTATTTTTAGGTATTTTCGCAAAGACGGCCGGCGCTTGAAGCGCGGCGGTCGGTCCGCCGCGCCGCGCCGGGCACATATGTGTCATCTGGCCCCTGTCCTGGTTCTCAGGCCCACGTGTTGTGCTACCACGAGGGCTGAGACGGGACGGGGGCCTGACAGTCTTCGACGGGACTCCACCGGTGCGCGACGGCCCGGTGCACGACGTGGCCGACGTGGCCTTACGTACGACGCGGCCGACGTGGCCCTACGAGAACGATTCAGTGAACCGCATTTGTGACCCCCATATTTTGTGCATTTTACCGTTTCCAACCGTTTTAACCTACCTAAGGTGGTTACCACCCCACCCCCCCCCCCATGTGCGGGCGCGGGTTAATCTATCTCTCCCTCCCCAACCCCTGGCCGGGCGAGGGATGAGATGTAGGTCCAACCCCTCCATTTTGTCGAGATATCCACTGAGATCATAGACCCGCCTCTTCCATCCCTGCACATGTCTGCTCGTCACTATGGTTTACACTGCCGAGCTGCACGCAGTGTCCGGAGGGATGGGGGAGTTCCAGACGGCCGGGGAGGGGGGAGGGGGGCTGCTGCACCGCCATCCGGCCCGTGTTATCACGAATCCATGGTGGCCTTCCGCTGACGTCATCAGTCCGGAACGCCGCGCCGCCGGCTCACTGGACACGCTAGAGTCTCCTCGCTACGGGACAAGGCCCATTGGAACCCGGACATCCAAGTCCTTGACGAATGTAGAGAGTTCCCATTTTATTTTGTTGTTGTTGCTGATTAGCCTTTACGAGGCAACTGTGCACTTACATCTCAAGTGCTCCATGAACGCCCCGGCTCCCCACTAGTTACAGTACGACGCCGGTGACCGGTAGGGGCGCTGCAGTCGTCCAGCGGCCCGAGGTCGGCGGTAACTGGTACCATGACTCAGCGGCGCCCCGCCCCGGGGTAATTCCGTACTGCGCAGTTGCAGCGGTCCAGACCGGGACAAAGGCCGACGGAGGGGCACGAGCTGCACTGCGTCCACCGGCCGGGTCAGTGGACAGAGCGGGTGGTCCAACAGTGTGTGGACGGTACTGAGCTCTGTTCACCGGAGCCGACCACGGCGGAGGCGGCGAATATCAGGTGAGCCGGGCCGACCTGTGTGTGAGGGGGGGGGGATCTGTGTGTCCCTGTGCCTGTTGTCTGAGTGTGTTTTGTGCGTCTGTGTCTATTGTCAGACTATATGTGTTTATGTAACAGTGTGTATGTGATTCTGTGAGTCTTTGTGTGTCTTATCTGTGTGCTAGGTACCCGTCTGAGTGTTTGGATGTCTGTGCTTCATATGCCTGTAGACTGTATGTTGGCGTGTCTGGCCTCGGCTAACATGCATTAACTGGGGCGGAGGGCATAAGGGGCGGAACGGGGGGGGGGAGGGCACCGTGGAACCGTGTCCCCTTGATTTCGGCATTTTAACATAAGCCCTATGGGCTTTGCATGGAAAGAATGGAGCTAAAAGTCAGAAATGCCCCTTTAACCCGCGCCCCACTGGGGGGGGGGGGCTATTCATAGCCCCCCTCCCGTTTTTCTGCAATAACTTCCAAACCGCTTGACGTATCGACGCCAAACTTTCAGTACCTTCGGCTGCATCAATTTGACACCTTGTGCCAAACTTTGAGCTTCGTACCTACAATAGGTCGGCCGGAAATGACGTCAGAGTGACGTCATGTTCGGCCGATTTCGACGCAAAACATTGAACCACGGCAATCGCTCCCAAGAGCTCAGTTTTTAAGCTAGATCCAATTTATTTGCATGAGAGGACTCAGAATAGACGGCGCTATCAAACTGCCATCTCGAATTTTCGAAATTTTGAAAATTTCGAAAATTTATTATAATAAAATTCAAAATTCATATTTTTACATTTTTTTCAAAAAGTTTTTGTATTTTCGAAAAAAAAAAAACGGAATATATGGGATAAAACTCATTATTATGACTAACTCTAGCAAATTTAAGCTAAATATCTTCAAAAATGGCCAAGTGTTACGCATTATTGCAAAAAATCACAATTATTAATTTTTCAAATCAATTTTTCAGCACGTATTTGACATCGTACGCCAATATAAATAGCACCATCGTGTTCCTGAGCTAAAACTGCATCCAATAGACACCTTTTTTGTTGAAAATTTTAACTTCAAAATTTGAACTTTTTTGATCTGAAAGTGACCTGACCTAAGCTAAATATGACTCAAAATGACCTCGAATGACACAAACGACATCAAATTCGAAATTTTTTGCCTAAATGGACCATAAACCATGTGTCACTAGACCGACGCATGATATAATATTTTCGTGACCTGTGATGACCTGACCTTGACCTGAAAGTCAAAGTACAAGTTTGGTACCCTCAGGGTATCTAGAGCATCTGTTCACGAGTGTGTGAACCAAAAATGAGCCTGATCTGACTTGTAAGACGGCGGCCAGAGCCCAAAACGTGAACAAGCCAAAATGCTAATATCTTTTATTTTGACCTGACCTGTGACGTCATCGGTGACCTCGAGGTCAATGAAATTAGGTTTCACTCGACAGTTTTTCCGGGGCTATCAGACGCCGTTTGAATTTTGACGATCGGCCCAGTAGTTTCGGAGTTAGGAGGGGGGCTATGAATAGCCCCCCCCCCAGTAGGGCGTGTTATACGCAGACCCCAGTGGGGCGCGGGTTAATTGAAGGTGTTCCGCGCTACTGCAAGGGGGCAAATGTTCCGCAGTGGCTGCCAGTTGCCTCTGCAGTGACGAGATTTTGCCCACCCTGTAGGAGTAAATATGAGACACTTCAAATATTATCCAAGCTGTCAAACCCAATGTGAAAGTCAATCAATCCTATTTCCTTTTCATATTTTGTCGCCCGTGTTTACACTGATCTTAGTCTAATATCGTAGAGAACATCCAGCGGCGTATCCACAATCTT